CCGCCGCCACAGCCTGCCGCCATACCCCGCCATCACACCATACCGCCCTGCCGCCACCGCCACAGCCCGCCGCCATACCCCGCCATCACACCATACTGCCCTACCGCCGCCGCCATCTTGTCCATCGTTTGGTAGGTCACCATCTCGCCATCCCTCCCTCCCTCCCATCTCGCCATAGTCCGTCCCATCTCCACATCTCGCCATACTCCCTCCCTCCCTCTCCATCTCGCCATCCCTCCCTCCCTCCCATATCCCCACCTCGCCATAGTATCTCGCCATCCTTCCCTCCCTCCCATCTCGCCATCCACTCCTCTCGCCATCCCTCCATCCATCCATCCATCTTCTTCTTCTTCTTCTTCTTCTTCTTCTTCTTCAGCATTGTAAAGCAGTCTCCCTTCGTCTGTCCATCTTCTAAAATTTCAGCATGGCCAGCGGGAGCAGGGCAGGGGGTGCGGTTGGTGGAGAAGGAAGCAGGAGGCAGTCGGAAAGAGGAGTGGGTAGAGGGAAGGACATTGCGAGCTCGAGCGCACCTTCGTCGGGGGTGGTTGACAAAGTCCCGACGCCGGCTACGGACCCATCCTTGTTCGTCCCACAAGCGGAGGAAAAGCAAAAGAAGTTGCAGGGCAAGAAGGAGGTGTGGAAGCATGTAGAACAAGGTCAGGAGGCTGTGCCGAAGGGGCGGGGAGAGTATTGGCTGCGGTGTCGGCTGTGCTCGACCATTTACAGGGGCACGAGCACAAGAGCCGTCGAGCATTTCCTAAAACTGCAGAAGCCTTGCCCTTTCAGGACGGGCATGATATTGCACAAGCTGGTGGCCCAAGGCGCGAAGGTGCTGCCGAAGGACAAGAAGACGCAATACCTTCTGCAAAATTACCGGCAGCTTCACAACATTTCAGCGGGGGGTGCTGCTGTCAATGAGGACGACGAGAGTGTGGTTGTTCCTCGCGGTTATGAGGAGCCACAACCGCCGGTTGCTGCTGGGAGGGAGCCAGTGGAGGAGCCGGTGCAGCGGGGAAAAGAACCTGCAGCGGCACAGGCGGCGGGAGAAGATGGTGCTTCCACCACAAGGATGGCTTCAATGCAGCAAACGACCATCAAGAGATGGGTCGACAACGCGGCGCAGAAGAAGTTGGATGTCGCGTGGGCGGAGGCACTGTTCAGAGCTGGAATTGCATTCCAATTCCTGGAGTTCGACATCACGCAGCAGCTGCACAGCGTGTACCTCGAGATGGCGAACGCCAGACCGCAGGTGAAGTTGCCGTCTTCGAAGCACATTCGGACTGTCATGCTAGAGTTCATTTTCATGCGCATTCAAAAGCAAATGGAGCCTTTGACAAAATGTTGGGATGTCACCGGCTGCACTTTCATCACGGACGGGTCTAACGATCGGAGGGACTGGCCTGTCATGAACTTCTTAGCGGCGGGGGAGCAGGGAGCTGTTCTGGTGGCGACGGTGTACATGGACGGCAAGAAGAAGACAGGAGCGGCGTTGGCAAAACTGTGGGAGAAAATAATGAGGGAGATTGGGCTGCATCGCATCAACGCAATATGCACTGACAACGCGGAGGTGAACAAGAGAGCAGCTCAAATTTTGGAATGGTGCACGCAAGGATACCTTGGGTTCCCTGCGCTGCACATTGTTGCAGCTTGCTGCTAAGGGACGTCAACAAGTTGGACTGGGTGAAGGGCACGGTGAAGCGGGGCCACACCATCGTCAAATTCATCAGGAATCACCACACGAGTAACAGTTTCATGATGAGTTTGGACTCGTCATTGACGTTGTTGCGACCGACCGAGGTCCGTTTCGGGTCGGTGTACCGGATGCTGGAGCGGATACACAACCGGAGGGCAGTTTTGAAGGACATGGTGGACGCGACGAATGTGGGGAAATGGAAGGCGATGCGGTGGTCGAGCGCGAAGCTGCAAGCGAAAGCGGATCTCGTGTACTTCACACTGCGGAGGGATGGTTGGTGGACGGAGCTAAGGAAGGTGGTGGAGATGATGGAGCCGTTGTATCTCCTACTGCGGAGGATGGACAAGGACAGGACAGCACCGTCAAACCTTGTGGAGTACGACCGACTCATGGAGAGGATGCTGGCGGAGGTTGTGCTGACACCGGAGCAGCGAAGTCCGGTGCTGGAGAAGGTGAGGGACCGCATGAAGATGATGCGGCAACCGGTGCACGCACTGGCTTTTCTTCTCGACCCGCGGAGGAGAGATCCGAAGTGGTTCCTGGACCGGGACAGCGCACTTGTGCAGAAAGTGCTGCATTATTTGCAGAGGCAAATTGGCGGACCTTGGAAGTCCAAGGCTCCATCATCTCCACCACCTTCCTTAGCTCCGTCCACCAACCATCCCTCCGCAGTGTGAAGTACATGAGATCCGCTTTCGCTTGCAAATTCGGTGCTTGGAGACCTGCGCGAGTTCCACAAGCGACCCACCGCAACCATCCCTCCGCAGTGTGAAGTACACGAGATCCGCTTTCGCTTGCAAATTCGGTGCTCGGAGACCTGCGCGAGTTCCACAAGCGACCCACTGAAGTACACGAGAGCCGCTTTCGCTTGCAAATCCGGTGCTTGGAGACCTGCGCGAGTTCCACAAGCGACCCACCGCATACGACCCCAATCGGACGGACAAGAAGATGTGGGAGCCGGATGCGGTCGAGGATGCTGATATTATCTCGCCGTCGGAGTGGTGGGCAACATATGGTGGCGACGTGCCGAAGTTGCAGACCATCGCTATCAAAGTGATGGGCATGTGGAGCACTGCAACTCCGGCGGAGCGTAATTGGTCGTCGATGGACTTGGTGCACTCCAAGCGACGGAATCGGTTGAAGCCCGCGACCGTGGAGAAGCTTGTGTACATTCATTGGAATATGAATCTGTTGCGGGCGAGCGAAAACTTGACGGACCATCACTACATCGATTTGTGGGCGGAGTTCTTCGAGTCTCCTCCGGCTGCGGAGGAGGGCGATGATCCTCTTTTGGCGGTGCCCGAGGAGGAGAAGGGGAAAACGGAGGAGGAACAGGCCCAGGAACGGGCCTTAACCAAGTTACCAAAGGGCCGGATTCCGAAGAACCTCGAAGATGATGAAGAGGAGCACACGGACGACAGCGACCTGTAGGACGAGATATGGAAGGGAAAGGCTCCATGGTCGGAATCGTATAGCGAAGGGGAGGCAGACGGCGGGTCCGACGATGACTTTGAGCTGGGAGCGCAACCCGCAATCCCGGGCACCACATATGTTGGGAGGAGGCGAAGAACACAGTGCCACGGAGAACGCCCGCCCACAACACCATGTCAAGGGACGGCTAATACAAGTGCGCAGTACGATTGACACCGACATTGACATGGTGCTTGGCCCTGGTCCGATCGACGCGGATGAGGCGGAGGCCGATCGTGCGAAGGCAATGGCTGATGCGGATCGCGAACGGGTGCAAAGGAGAATGAGAGAGGAGGAGGAGCGGCGAGCAGCTGTACCAACCCGTAGAGAAATGCAGAAACAAAAGAAGAAGGTTGGAGAGCATGAACCAGAGCCTGCGCGGGAGATGGGGCAGCACGAGGAGGAGGAAGAGGAGGAGATGGGCCAGCAAGACGAGATGGAAGAGGAGGAGATGGGCCAGCAAGACAAGGAGGAAGAACACGAGATGGCCCACCTGGCGCAGGAAGAAGAAGAGATGGAGGAGGAAGAAGAAGAGGCTTGCATGGAGCAGCGAGAGGAGGAGATGGAACAAGAAGAAGGGCACGGACCAGCAAGAAGAGGGTTTGGAGGACCAACATGCGGAACGGGTGGGAGAGAGCGAGGAGGAGCAGCAGCACGACAAGATGGCGCACAACGAGGAGGAGCCGCAACAGCAACAGTATGCACCGACGACCGCGTACAAGCGTCGGAAGAAACAGCGGAGCCTGCCGGATCGCCATAGAATTCCCCCGAATTTCCAGACAACTTAAGAGGGGAGCCAACACGACAACCTGTGGGTCAGCAGGGTCCTGTCGACGATGTGCCGAGGCCGAAACTTCCACGTGGCAGGCCTCGGAAGAACAAGACTGCCAGTCCGGCTACGAAGACGAAAAAAAAAAACCGGAAGTGCAAGCCTCGCACAAAGATTGTCGAGGACGACCCCGATTCCGACAGCTGCAGCGAGCAGTTCGTCGAAGATGAGGGTTGCACTGATGACTGACATTGGTGTGGGTGTGGGTGTGGGTGTGTGTGTGTGTGTGTGTGTGCGTCCGTGCGTGTGTTTTCGCGTGTGTGTGTGTGTGTGTGTGTGTGTGTGTG